ACTGCCACAGGCAGGGCCCTGGATTGCCTCACCTAAATCATTAGGAAAACAGATGTTCTCCCACATCATCTGTAGCAAAATCTTGATGATAGTTGTTCTTACATACAGTATATCATAAGGCCCTAATTCTGCCACTATCATTCTTGGACTAGCACACTTTGAAGTTTGGGTATGTGTGCTTTTGTACACACACGCACACTCACACCCACAGAGAGATGAATGAGAGTTACATCTTCTTATTAAAAGATGAAGAGACTACATGTAATCAAATGACTAACTCAATTTATCACAAACACCAAGCCATTTTTGGCCAATGAAGAACAATAGAAAAAACAACTCTTGATATCACTAGGGCTATAAATTATTTTTGACATTAGTGCTTGATGGTGGTGTGAGCCACAAAAAGCTAGAAGACAAACAAGAAGTTATCTTTCATGTTCCCAGAGAAATTAATTTGTGGTGAAGTGAAATCAGCATGCAGACATCTGTTTCTCCCAAACATCAAGAGCATTAAAAAAAAGTTTAATTATGTATACAGTGTGAGATGCACTGCTTTCTAACTCTGCATTTTCAGTTTCGCATTTTTAATCTTCTGTGTAGCCTCCTCCCCCCCAAAAAACCCCAAAACAGTATACATTGCATATTCAGGATTATTTATTAATTTTTTTAAATCTCAATCCCAGACTTGTGATGTGCCTTGCCCCTGAATGGTGTCTCTGACAGCAGCGTACTTTGCACCTTTGGTGCTAGAAGAAAGGGAAATATATATCACTACCTCCCTGCTTTCTGCAGTCTGACAGTATGTCAAATCATTCTGGAAAATACATAGCTGCTATCTAATAAAGTGGCCACTATTCCAAGTGCCACAAAGGGGCACGATAAAATACTCGATCAGCATTTGAATTTATTTTTCTTCTGAAGGATCTAAATATTGTAATCAACATGTGTGAATAACTTGAGTTCTGTGATGCCTAGCTTTACTGTGATCTGTCCCAGTAGGGATGTGTTTAGCTATAAAACACGCAAGAGAATTGCTTTGTTACCACTAGTCTTTACAGAGCCAGGTATTTCCCTGGTCGTATTCTCTTCTGACCATGTTTGTCAACTTACTATATGTACTTCTGGATTAACAAACTGAACTCACAGTCATCTTAAACTGGTCCATCATCTGTCTCCCTAGTTCTCACATTCCTATCTCCATTGCAGCAGACCCTGCCATAGCAGACCCTCCACAAGCACTTTGACCCCTTTCCAGAAAAATTTCCCTTAGCCTGAACTTGAGGACCATGCTTGTAGTATCCCTGAAGGTAGGAAATGTTAAATTTGGGGTCCCATAAAATGGACTAGGTTTTCTGTGCTTAGTCTGTGGGTACCCCTATTCAATATAATATGGCAGATTAGGGAGATGGCATTTAATGATTACACACATGCCAATGACTGCTCACAGTGAAAGGCAGGGAAAAACCTTGGTCGAGATGGCTGCAGCCTGGCAAACAGTCAAATGCAATGCACAGATGATATCTGTACCCATATCTATATCTTTGAGCTGGTAAAGCCTCCTCCTTCCCAGGGCCGTATTGTTAACAGCCAGGTTATTCCATCACACTTCAGGAGTGGGCATCCCAGATGAGATCTTCCCAGAAGTCATCTACTCTTTCCAGATGTTTCATGCTTGTCTGCTGTCTAGGTTGTTAAGTGCATTACCTCTGCTTGTGGTTCAAGCCTATCAACACTGCATATATACACCAAAGACGTGCTCTTGCACCTTAACAAAGTGCTGGCTCACTCTGAGGTCAGTAGCTGGCATAATTTTAAAAAGCTACAGTATTACCTTTGTCAGACAGCTGTTATTGCTGTTTCCTCACTTGACTTGAGGACAATTTACCTGCAAATGATTATGGAGTTTGAAGGCAGAAAAAAAGGCAATCATCACAGTAAGATCATTTACTCATCTACCACAAAAGTTTTTGCTATTGTTACAAGTTGTAGAATAATTATATATTCAGCTGTACCCACACAACAGTGATTTATTCTGTTTCCATCAGTGTTTTGGGGGCTGCTGTCTAAAAGCACTCTGTCTACTCTGCATGATTCACATCAGATGTGTAACCAGGTGACAGTCATACTGGCATTTGGTGTAAGTCAATGAAATTTATTTGCATACTAGTAAGTGGTTTTGGAGAATTCTCACATATTTTTCACTCACAGCCTCAACACCCCCTCATGTGTTCTTTTACAGATCAGTTTGATATTCCTCAATGATATTACTGATTGAATGTTTAAATAACTCGTATATATATATACATGCTTATATACCTAAATACATATATATTGTATACAATTATTGCCCAGCTTATGTAGAACTTATTTATATGTTATTAAAACACAGAAAAGGAGATGTTTGATCACAATAATTTTTGTGAAAGTGCAGACAAAAATTAAGCAAGACCACGGTTGTTTAGATTGAAATCACTAAAGATACAGCTTACCACAAATGGAGTTATCATTTGCAAATAAGGATGGAGACTTGCAGAATAAACACACAGTTTAATTTTTGCAGATTCAGGTCAGGCAGAAGCCGTTTATTTCTACAGCTACAGGAGGGAACATGTAGCAACAGATTCAGCCCTCTACCGATGCAAATTCTGACTTAAAGCAAAAGTAGTAGGGCAGAGCAGTATCTCCATGGAAGGAAATGTTGTCATGGCAGACGTGCATGTGTGTTCCTGATAGCTCAGAGCATGCAGCCAGATGGCCTCAGCGTACATCTGTCCAGCTCATCTTGTCCTCGCTTGTGATGCTTCTGTGCCCTTCACCAACTTCTAGGCCTAGCAAGGCCTGCTTCCAGAAAACAATGTTGGTAAAAGGCATTATTTAGGCCTGTTTCCAGAAAATGCTGAACTACTGAAAATACTGAGCTCTCTCAACTGACAGACAAAAATGACATAAATGTTTCTCTTTAGGAGACACCCTCTCAACTGATCTATATAAACTACTTGCAGCTTCTGCTCTTACAGAAATAAAAAACCAATCTACATCACTTCATCACTTACATCTTCTCAAGATTGACCAGTGTTTCAGCACTCTTTCAGCTGGTTTATTTAATCTGTTTTTACATTCTGATTAAAGCATGTATTTAAGAAGGAACCATACTGAAGTAGAAGTCCTCTGAGATGAAGAATTGTCTGTTGTTCCTACCCCTTGCTAGGAATCCACTTAAGGCCACTGTTTTGATTGTTTTGGGGATGGGGTTTTTCTTGGGGCTTGGGGCTAAAACCAGCATTTATTTCATAGAATCACAGAAAATTTAGGCTTGAAGGGATTGCTGAAAGCCATCCAGTCCAACACGCCACTCAAAGCATAGCCAACTCTGAAGCTACACCAAGTTGCTCAGGGTCTTGTTCAATGTGGTTCTGAATATCCCAGGGATGGAGGCTGCATGGCCTCCCTGGGCTAACCATGACCAGTGTCTGACCACCTGCATGGTTAAAAAACCCCAATTTTAAAAGTCCTTCTACTGACTTACAACACTGCTTGAAAAAAGTGTCCCTCTCCTTTGTAAAAACTGTTTTTTAGTTCCTTGTAAGTCTTGCCTATATCCACATAATTCAGTGTTATCTGTTTACCTGAGCCCAACCTACCATCTGTCTAAAACAATGTTTAGGGTCCTCTCCACCTGCCCAAACAATGTTATGCCACCCTCATCCATCTGTATGCTACATGTGCATATGTCATTCTCATCACTGTTTGAAGAGCGGAACTCTCTCTAATTTGTGGACAGTTTGTCTCTCCTCCAGGTTCTCCGTTTCTTGTCAGTAAAGAAAGGAGTAAAGAGTGGGCAAGTGAGAAGTTTGGAACACAGAGTTCCGAGACAGATGTTGTGCTAGAAACTACAGTGTGTAACAAATTTCCAGAGATACTCCAGAGCTAAGTGAGGCCAAGAGGCAAACCCATCTTCCAAGACTGTGATGGACAGGGCTGCCACTACCTAAACACAACGTTCACTATGAACTTCTTATGGTCTGCGGTCCTCAGTGTATTAAAGGTTGATTCATGATCAGCATACACGACAGTACCAGAGAAAGCAAGTTAATTAGCCTCAACGACACTGGCACTCAGCAAGCTCTGGAAGAGCTAGCTCAGGTGAAGAACTGTGCACTATGGAATGCACCTTTGCTAGGTTTAACATGGTTAGAAATTTCCTATGTGAAAGTCAAGCTGCAGAAGGTTTTTAGCATTGATTATGAAAGTGACAAATAAATAATATACTGCCAGATAATATTCAGAAAGTCTAACAGCTGTTTCACTGAGAAGTTGAAGTTTCACTGAGAACATGGGCGTTCGCTGTTCTAAAGCAGGTGCTGGAAATTTAGTGACACCATTGTGCTTTTGGTTTGTCACACCACCGGTGGAGAAATGCAGTTCATCCCTCCCATACCTTAGGAGCCGGTACTTGGGGAGGCAGCCAGCTCTACCTTCCCCAGATGTGGAATGCGCCTCACCTGGAGTCAGCCGCCTCTGCAAACACGGCACCTCTCTGGCCACAGCAATCGGTCATTCTGTCACAATTAACAGTCAAAATTAAATATGAGATGTGGCATAAAAAGGAAGACTTCTAAGCTTCAGAATGATAGCTTCTAGGCCTTATTTTCCCATTTCTGAATATTGCTACCAATCACCTGACGAGAAGCGCCAGTTACAGCGAGCTATCCTGGCGTTTCTGGCAGGGCCAGCTCCGAGGCGGCCGGCACAGGCCGGGCACTGCCCGCGCCGCTGCCGCCTGGGCCCGCGGCCACGGCCGCGGCTGCTCCCGGGGCTCGGGAGCGGCAGGAGAGCGTGTGCTCCTTCCTCCCGACT